GCTCTCTTCCTCTCCCCTCCCCCCGCTCTCTCCCTCCCTCCCTCCTCGGCGCAGCCTCCGCGCCGGGCGCTGCGGCGGCGGGATCCAGCCCTCCCCCACCCCGGGAGGTGGCGGCGGGGAGGGGCCGGGGGCCGCGGGGACCCGGGTGGCTGGAAGGGCTTGATGGAGAGCAGGCCCGAGCCCGGCCCGAAGGTGCCCGCCAGGTAGAGCAGGGCGCGGCCGCGTTCTGGCGCCGAAGGCAAGCCCGCTACGGGTGTGAGGTTTTGGGGTGGAGCTAGCTTGAGACCTAGAGCAGAATTTCCTGGGTTCCGGGGTGGGAGGTAGGACTTTAATTTTCCCGGGGATGGTGGGGGACGGGGCTGACTTATGTTCTCCCACTTGTGAATGGGTGAGGGAGGTGTGGATGGGCCTCGGAGCCCAGGTGGGGATGGAGAAGGGGACGAGGAAGCCCACGGTCATCGTCCTTTGCCCTCCTACCGGATGGCTAGAACTAGGGGGTCCCTGCGCTCAGTTTTGGGACGCATAGCCTCCCTTGCGGGGCGGGTGAGCCTGAGCATAGCAGCCGGTGGTGGCCCCCGCTCGGCTGGGTGTGGCGCTCTCTCACCCCCCCTCCCCCACCTGCCGCAGCTGTCGGGGCCTTATAGTCTGTAAATGGGCACCGGCGGTGTCCGGTGGCGGGGAAGACGCCGGGTGGGAGAGCGGGGTGTGTCCGCGGCGGGGCTGGTAGTTGTTCCGCTTCTGCGGGCGGCGCTGGCGTCTCTGCCCCCGGGGTCGGCTTCCCTCCCCACCCCCACCTCACCGACTTGGGCGGGGGCGCGAGCTGCTCCTCCCTTTTGCTCGGGTCGGGCGGGGGGGAGGAATTAACACTCAGCAGTAGGTTGGGCTCCTTGACACAGATCCGCCATGACAAAGAGAGTCGGGGACTTGTGCGGAGGCACAAGCTTGGGCGGAGCCTGGGCGGGGGGAGGGTGGTTGCGGATAGCTTGGACGGAAGAATTTGCAGTTTAAAATCAGTGTCTGGCCGTTTTTTCTTCATCCTACCCGATGTCTTGTCAGTTAAGGGTTAAGTGGGTGCGGCGAGTCCTCTCCGCAGAATAGAGGCGAGGCTTTGGAGTTACTCTGAGAAACCTAATCCACTTCCCCTGTGCCGAAGTGGTTGGGGAGAGAAACCTTTGTACTGTTTTTTAATCATTTTTCGTTAGAAGCAGCATTAACCAGAGTGTTTCTGAGTTCCTGGAGGAAATACGCGATCACAAATTTTGAATAGTTTAATGCATCGAAACAGTACACCTCCCATCCAAGCTTTAAACAAGGTGATTACTTGTTCAGTGGACCTGTTCTCATTTGGTTAAAAAAAAAAAAAAGGAATTTCCCCGGGAAGGTAATACGGGTATGATATTGGGGAGTCATTTCCCATGGTGGGTAACAATGGCTCTTCTGTTCACCTTTTAATTTAATAGTGCACTTCGGATGTATATATAAAAATCGTTTATTCTGTGGGATCACTGTATGATTTAGTATCTTTTTCTGTGCTGTTTTAGCACCTTTCGAAAGGATATCTTTCAAGAAAAGTGTAGTGGAGGTAAATTGAAAAGTCCAGGGAACTTTCAAATGAAGGAAACAATTAGATGGGAAGTCATGGTTTTGAAAGGGTAGCTCGAGTGATAACACATTCAATTGTGGCTAATAGAAACAAAATGCAGAACAATGACACTGGAAACACTTGCAGATTAATGGCTTCCAATGTGACATATTTTAGTGCTTACAGATAGTAAGAGTTGAAATTCCAGGACTCGATATTTTTTAAGTATATGTGCAGATAACAAGGAATAGGTAGATGAGGCCTTAGGGTCAGTAAGATACTGATCCTACGTGGTGGTTTTATTTCTAAAATATCTAAGAACAAGGAGTTTGGTCATTTTCCCTAGAAAGTTGTCATGCTATGATTAGCTGACAAATGTTGGAAAGGTTCAGTAAATTTGGGGTGATAATAATACTAACTAAAATTTAGTCACTCCTGGCAAGAGTAATTATTAGGAAAGTAAAAAGACATTTATGTTAAACTAACCATGAATTGTGATTCTGGAAGTATGATAGAAATTGTAATGTTCTTTGTAGGCAATGCTTTTACTAAAGGAGGAAAAGCTGCTTAATTTGGGGATACTTAGTGATACGGAAACTAGTTGAGATTTTGGCCAAGTAAGATAAGTGGTAGTATTTGACATAGACTTTTGACCAAATGTTCTTTGACATGTGAAATTAAGATCTTCTGAACAGAGACGAGGTAGGGTAATTTTAGTTTTGCCAAACTGATGTTAATGCTTGCAAATTTATCTCTGCATGCTGAGTATGCTAGTATTTTTGATTTTCCTTTTGTGAGGCTGCATTCTAATTCCTCATGTGAAGGCTCTTCCACAGGCAGCTAGATTCAAGGTGTTAATATATCTTATTTACCACAGGTATAATTTTGAGTCTGCTTATTTTGATGGGAAAAAATCTAAATACTCCTTTTTTTCCCCCTGCAGAACACCCAATCATGGATAAAAATGAGCTGGTGCAGAAGGCCAAACTGGCCGAGCAGGCTGAGCGATATGATGATATGGCAGCCTGCATGAAGTCTGTAACTGAGCAAGGAGCTGAATTATCCAATGAGGAGAGGAATCTTCTCTCAGTTGCTTATAAAAATGTCGTAGGAGCCCGTAGGTCATCTTGGAGGGTCGTATCAAGTATTGAGCAAAAGACGGAAGGTGCTGAGAAAAAACAGCAAATGGCTCGAGAATACAGAGAGAAAATTGAGACAGAGCTAAGAGATATCTGCAATGATGTACTGGTGAGAATCAAACATTCAGTTTAGCTTTCTATGATGAGTATCAGTTACATTACTTCCAGCCTTTTCTTCCTTTGGTTTTTCTTTCCTTTTAAAAATTGAGTGTTCTAAATTTAGAAGTTTTTGGATATATTACTAAAAAGGTGGTTAAAACAGTTGTAGGTAAATATGTAAAATAAATGCAGCAGTGATTATCAAACAATTTAGTTTTGCTGAAAATAATAGACTTTGGCAGTGTATTTTGCATTAATTGAAAAGATAAACTAATAGTGTTACCATTTCAGTTATGTTTATAATATTTGTAATAGTTTGAGCTGATTATCTTAAATATACATATGAGTATATGATACATGAATTTTACATATCTTGTTTTATGTAAGAGAGATGTAATAGGATACTCATTGTAGATATAGTATACTTCTCTGGATTAGCCACTATATTGTTAATGTAATGAGTCAGCCATGCAAAAAACTGGCTTCACTGTTACATGTGCCTCTACCTGCATTTAAGTGTTGGAAATCAACTTTGAACACTGACAACCATGATGTAAGGTTATGAATAACTCGCACTTGATTTTCCAGGTCTATCAGGAAATATTTTAAGTATTCGTTACTTACTGTGTTAAACACTGTGCTTTTCTAAAAGTTTAAAAGAATTAAACATTGTGTTTTGGTTAATTTTAATTTTTCTTATAAATTTTGGCTTTCTGATGTAGCAAAGTTTAAATTTGAGGATAAACTAGTACTAATCCAACCAAGTAGCGTATAACGTCCTATGCACATGAATACTTTCTTTTTTTAATGAACCACAAGTTTTTGGATTAATATTTAAAGTGGTTTTACTAAATGATTACACTTACATCACACGACTTCTGGTTACACATTGGGTCTCACTATGGCAGGGCTCTGGTATATTGGAAGAGAGGAACAGTATCTCAATTTCTCTGAACAAGTTACTGAATCTGGGAGTTAGCATGGAAATTCTGGTGCAGTACTTACTATTTGAACCTTGTTCGTGAAAGAACTACTGTAATGAGCACTTTGGGATTATTTCTGATGTGGTTGTGGGTTTGGGTTTTGTTAAAGTTGAATGGTATTATGACTCCTTTACACTAGTCTTCAATTCTTAAATTATGAGTATTATTCTTAAATGGTGTTTTCTTTAAGCTGTCATTTTTAAAGAATAGTGATTTTTTTAAATTCTAATTAATGTGGGCTCACAATTGCAGTGTCTCATGTGGCATCTGTCTCGGGTGCATTTTTTTGTTGTTTGCTTATTTGAAATCTTTATAATGACAAGTATCATTTATTTCTAAGATGAAGAAAGGAATATCATGCTTTTATTAAGGCCAAATGACAAATACCTATATTGTGATTTATTTGTTAAGGTAATAAGAATACTTAAAATTTGGAAATGTCTCTTTTTCTATAATAAAAAGAATGTGTTGGGGTTTTTTTCTTCCTGCTCTCCCTACTAACTAGTATCACTGTACATGTTACTGAATTTTGTTCAGTCTGGTGTTTTTTCCTCAATTATTATACCTGATAGATGAAAAAAATATTATTTTGGTTTCAAAGGGTATGTTACAAGTTTTATAATTTCCCTTAAGACATAAGTCAGTTTTAGGGAAAAAAGGGGATGTGGTAACATTTACCTTCTACTAACAAGTTTGCAATTCCAGGTAGATGTTTGCATGTTTTCCACACACACACACAGCATAAAAAGCTCCTGTCATTGTGAGGATTTTTCCAGGAAAGACTAGCATTTTTAACTTTGCTTCCCTTCGGTTTCCTTATGAAGAAGAAAAATTATTGTTTCGAAGCAGTGGATGGGAATGACTGGATTAATCTAGTAATGGTCACTACCCATTTGTTCCCCTCCAGAATAGCACTGGCTTCTCAAAAAGTCTAAATGAAATTTCTACTTTGAAATTTAAACAAATAAAAGTTTAATTTCTTTACCGTACAAATAGTTTAGAGAATTCTAAACAAGCTTTTGCTTCCTGCATTGGTCTTTGGCTCTGTTAATGATCTTTGCATGTTAGTGAACATAACATATAGTAGGTGCTGCTCAAGTATTAAGCAGGGGGCTTCTTTTTTTTAAAGATGACCGGTAAGGGCATCTTAACCCTTGACTGGGTGTTGTCAGCACCACGCTCACCCAGTGAGCAACCGGCCATCCCTATATGGGATCCGAACCCGTGGCCTTGGTGTTATCAGCACCGCACTCTCCCGAGTGAGCCATGGGCTGGCCCAGAGGGCTTCTTTTGAGAAAGAGGATAATAGAATTAGGTCAGGAGCACTGCTAATTTTTCTAGGCTTTTTCTGTTTCAATTTGGGAAAGTTCAGTATTTCCTGATAACTTGATTCTTTACAAGTGGGCTTTTTTTCCCTACCATCTTTTTCAAAGAAGTCAGTTGACTCTGGAAACATCTTGCACAAAATATCTTTTCTCCTTCCTAGTAAAATGGAAGAATATGATGTAGTAGAACTGACATTTCTCCTAGAGAAAAAATACTTTTAACCATTTTTCTTGATTAGTAAAAGTATGCTTTAATTCTATTTTAAGAGCTTATATGATGAAAATACAGTCAATTATAATCTTTATTCTAGCATTTTCTGGCCTTTGATTTTTTTTTTCTTCTTAATTTGAGAAAAATAGGCAAGTAATTCCTTTGCAGAATTAATATTGGCTAGTGGTGGCATCAGTGACAAACCAGGCTTTGTTTTTTATTGCACATCTGTATCATAATAGCTAAGAAAATATCTTCTTCCTGCAAAAAGCAGCTAATCTCCAGAGTTCTGAGTTTTTCTGAAGAGCTCTTTAGTAACCCATTCTGGTTATATGCATTTATGAAGTGTTTAGTTTAAACCATTTGGGTAGGCAATGAGAAGGACCATGTTACTTTTTACAAGAGTTTTAGAGCATTGTTGTGGGATATGGTCACAGACATATTCTTTGCAACATGGTCTTTTCATTATGTAAAAGAACTTGGGGTTCTTCCCTTTCTTGGATTTAGTTTGAAATTGCAGTTTGTGAACTAATGCAATCTGGCTTTCCTGCCAGATGCTTAAACCAAAAGCTCTCTTGGTAGTTGGGGAGGGACTCAACACTAGTCATATCTAATACCTCTTCTGCATAAACCCAAAAGATGTAGCCAAAAATGGGCTAGTTTTTGTCTTGTATGTGGTAATGAGATGAAAAACAAAACGAGGAAATACATACTACAGAATCTAATTCAAATCCAAAGAAGTATGGCGCAATATAAAAAGAGCTCAGGATTTGGAGTCAAACCACAGTGTTGCTGGTTAATAGATGCATGGCTTGAGGAAATCACTCGATGCTTCTGAGAAAACTGAGCTCAATTAAATAGGAATAATACTCACCCCATAGGGTTGTTATGGAGAATGAGAGTCAGGTATAAAGTACCTTGACTACCTTCTGTGTCCTGTTTCTTTTGGGGTTCTGTTTAAAATAGTTGTAGTCTTTAAAGAAGTCTCAAGAAGTCTTTAAAATTGTGAGTGTTTCTGGGGCATGCCAATTGTATTAGTCCTATTCTGTTGCTTATAATGGAATACCTGAAACAGGGTAATTTATAAGAAAACAAAATTTATTTCTTACAGTTCGGAGGCTGAGAATTCTGCAGTCCAAGGGGCTCATCTGGTGAGGGCCTTCTTAGTGGAAACTCTACAGGGTCCTGTGATAACCAGGGTGAGAATGGACTGAGCAAGAGAGAGCTAATCCCCTCCCTTACTCCTTATGAAGCAATCAGAACAATGCCCATTACGCCATCCATTCACAAGGGCACAGTCGTCACAATCTAATCACCTCTTAAAGGCCCTGCCTTTCAAATATCGTAATTGGATTCTTGCAACCTCTTAACACTGTTAATGAAGATCAAGTTTCCAGTACATGAACTTCTGAGGGACAAATTTGGCTCAAAGCACCAGCCATCAAATTTTCAAAGATTTAATTAAACATTTGAAAGCCACTGTATAGGCAAAGAATGGCTTCCTTTCCTTACAGGAGGCCTAGGATGCAGCAGAATTGTGTATCTAACATTTGTAACAGTTGGCAACAGTACTTGAACAATCTTGATGGTGATATTTAGTGATTCACTTAACTGAGTTCCATTTTATTATGCTGCTCTACATTTTTATTTGCCTGGGGCGGTTGTAAGGTGTGGTTGCTGGGCACTGATTTTATCAGCTTACATAACTGCCATTAAGCTGGAGCAAGATAGGAAACTAGGCAGCTTTGGGGTCCTCCCTAGTCTGGATGTATTAATGTATGATGTGGCCTTTATAAACTGCTATATAGAGTTAGTTTTTAAGCTGAAAATCACTGAACAGCTCATTTATTGGAATAAGGGCTTCTCAAAAGAGTTCTGCAGTGTCATACCTGTCTTCACTACTTTATACATATGTATATGTCTTTTCAAATGTGGCTTTTGGTGTGTTTCAAAGTATTAAGGATTTATGTGACATTGTAGATACCTACAGTCCCAGGAAGAAATTGGACAGTGTCTTTTTGGTAGTAAAATTCAGTAGTTTTTTAAATGTTAAGTGTTGCCCCTGGTGAGGTATTTTGTACAGTTGGGAAATCTGAAGTTTTGAAGTGGTAATGATGAAAATATATGAAGGGGAACAGAAAGGTAGGCATTTGCTGTTTGGTGGGAAAGGGAAGTAGTTCTGCCTTTACTATATTGAGTTAAATGTCATTGGACTATTTAGATTAATTCCATCATAAGTTTTTGATTCCAAAATAGGTGATCCTTGGCACATTTATATTGAAGAATGCAGGTGGGAGGGAGGGACAGGTTTTTTTTTTAAAAGGTCAAAATTATGGGTGTTCTGATGTCAAGTACATTTAAAAAAAAAAAAAAAATGTAGTCCATTGAAATTCTATTAAGTCTTTCAGAATTTTTTTTTTTTAATTCCTGGGATTCTCTATTGAGATTTCATAGCTCATGCTTTACTATGACAGTTTTACATTGAGAATAA